ATAAATTTCAGTAATTTTATTTTATTTGTAGTAATTCTAACAGATTATTTTCTATTAAACATTTTGTTGAAGATGTAGAATTTTTCATTGATCTTGATCATATTTAAGTACCAGATCTCGTTAGATAGCGTCAAAATTCTCGATGTAAAATATTGTTTCATAAATATTACATAATTCAATAATTTTAACTTTTATTTAAATAATATTTATTTCTTCTTATACAACTTTTTAAGAATTAAAAAAATAATTCACAACTTTATTTTATGTACTGTACGATGCACAACTTGATAATATTTGAATAAGTGCGTTATGATAAGGACGCCACTAAACGTAGTCAATGTTCAGCAATATCACAAAATTTATTTCAAATATTTCAACATTTATATTTTAGTTTTATATAACAAATATACAAAATAAATATATGTCGCTCTGAAAAATGTTCAAACAGCGGCCCTTATTTGCTGCTTTAAAGGTTAGAAGAGAGTTTAATCTGTTATTGTTCTGAATTGTAAGTAAACCATCGTCACCCAAAAGTGAATCCAATTGAATATTCATATAAGAACTATTAACATTTTAATATATTAATTAATGTTTCGCAAATAATCTACATTTAAATAGAAGTTATCTATACATAATCTAAGTTTACAAAGAAGGTTTTGAGTTTTTTTTACAATACTTTTTAAATTACAAATAATATAACCACTATCTTATTATAATAAATCGCGTACGATATCGTCGAATAATTAATTTTCACAATTTTCTTGACAATAATATCTCCAGTAGAATATAGCACTCAATCCTCGGTAGGTATCGAAAAAATAGGAATTATACAGGCATACCTCGACTTACGTCGTTTCGAGTTACGTCGTTCCCGATTATACGTCGCTTGTTAAAAAAGTATATGGAAAAATAAAAATCAAGTTTAAGTCATTTTATTCGACTTTACGTCTGTCCGCCACAAATATTGAAGTCGTAATATCACTAGATAAACGTTTAAAGCACATAAAATCATATTAAAATATATACAAGTATGTACTGTATTTACAGTACACGCATTCGTAAATTTAGATTATTTTTTTTGTATTATATTAAAAACTAAAATTTATTTGTTTGTAAGCTTAAAATAGATTTTTATTAACCATATATTATTTAAAATGCTTTCCTAGTGATAAGTAGATTCGGAGACAGGTAAATTCGACTTACGTCGTTTTCCTGGAACCAATTACCGACGTAAGGCGAGGTATACCTGTACTGAGCGTGTGTATTTATAAAATTTAACGGTCACGCGGTCTGCGCAAACCAACACTATAAAGTTGTAGTTGTATATATCCTACGAAAAATACACATCATTGATTACGTTAGCCATTGTTTCGAGTTGGCCGAAAATACAGCTGCGGTCAAACTTTCGCGTAGATCGCCCTCTAGACATTATGTACTTTATTGCGCTTAAGCGCAATTAACCCTTTATATCCATGCCGCGGATTTTAGAAACGAGAGCAAAATATAAACTTATATACGAATAATTTTACAGCGCTTTTAATAATTAGAGATTTTAAATTTAAAAAAAGAGTATATATACGCAAACCTTTCTATAATGGAATTGGGCCAGAGATAGACGAATTGCCGAAAAAGGGATTAGGAAAGATCCGAAATTAAGGTTTGTATTAGGAAAAAGGGGATATAATTTTTTACGTTCCTCGAATCTTCCTGCCCCGTATACGGAGCACTTAAAGCTTCGTTGCACCGTTGTAAATGCATCTGTCGGCAAAAACGACGTAATTCGTAAATGTCCTTTTTCATCTACCAGAGAAAAAGTCTGGTAGATGAAACGTATTGTAATAAATCAAAGTAATGCATTATGTTAATGTAAACGAATGCAAACTTTTTTTTTTTTTAATAAAATAAGTTTTAAATGGAACAAATATACTGCTTACAAATAGAAAATTGTCGGTAACGCCTAAACGGTCGATGGTAGGTAATTTTCTAATTTCATATTTAATTTTTTAGAATTCATTACAAGTCATCGTCTTATTGGTACGAGATTACGTAAATCCTAATTAATACGGTAATTTCAAATTTTTAAAATAAATAATCATTTAATACCAATATATTTTCTCATAATTTACGTTTAACGCACGTTGCCATTTATCTTTAAACCTTGTTTTTATTCTTTACAATATTTGTAATTCTTTATTTGGATTATAACAGAGGAAATACGTGAACATTTTTGAACAAAAAAATAATGGAATAAATTCAAAATTTTTCTCATTTTAAGAAGGAATTCTAGTAAAGTTTCAAAGAATAACATAATATATTTTAGAATTCGATCTAAGTTCTGTAATAAAACACGAACTTCTAACGCGCATAAAAGACATACGGAATTTACAAGTTATCTTTTACTTTATAACAGACGACGCTATTAATACAGGTTTTTATCACACGCCGAGAAAAGTACATTGGCGGTGGCGCGAGGAAAGCCATCGTTCCCCATCTCAAACGACGGTAGAATACGTTTCGAGCTCGTAGCGCCATCTTACGTTACTAAAGAAAATTTTTCGAATACGGTAGTCGTTATTTTTAATCTAAACGTCGTTAGCCACCGAGATTATCTATGTATTTACTTTTATACTTACGCCAGCAAATTAGGTTAGACTAATCGTCTTTAAATCCACACTCGACACAATATAATCAAATATAAAATACTATTTATAGGTCTAGAGGCGTAAAATAAAAAATACCGCAATAAACAATAAATATTTAGTTTTTATATAATTACCTGGTTGAAAATATGTTTAAAACGTAAATCCAATCGAAATATTAATTAAAAAATGTTTGGCAATCGCATCGTTGGATTATTATACGAATACTTTCGTCACCATAAGTAAGACCGGAGTCGAACAGAAATTGTAAGCGAAAAACAAACCGCCTAACCAGTTTAAAGTGTAAAATCGTGAAAGTGAAAGTTACTCGACAGAAATATAAATATCAACATTTACGAATAAATAATGTTCCAAGCCGGATTAAAATAGCATTTAAAAACAGTCCTTAAAAAAGACAAAAGCAATATCTTGAGTTAAAAACGAGAAAAGTTCTGATCTGGACACACGCACGCGCTAGACATTCTACTTTTGAAACGTCACTCAAATCCTTACGCTAATAACTTTCGTTACTGTATAACATTCACTTAAAAGTGTTGGTTTTGGTTGTTTGTAGCCTGTCAAAACGAAAGTAACGGAATAACTTCTTTTAAATAGTTTATTAACGTAACATATACAACTGCGAACTTTCCAATGAAATCTCGTCTCGGCCAGGCGAAAAATCTCTATAAATTTAAAATACTCGAATTATTTGATTATTTTTAAAAACTCGCGGAACATTTTCATTTAGTTCGAGTACAAATCCGTGTGAAGAGTTCACTGATGGGTGAAAGGCGATATTTATAAAAGTACAAAATGAAGAATTTTTTACTTCCCGTCGAAACTGTCTCGACCCTCGATGCGCGACTGTCTTAGTAGTTTTCGGTTCAGAACTAGAACGGTTCCGAACTACCCACTTCTAATATATTTACTTCACCGTGGCCTCCGTTAAAGACCCTCCGAGCGCCACACTGGAAGTTCGGTGGCGGATTCGCGCCTGGCTCGGACGGGCTGGCAGAGTGGAGTTTTCCGGGCTTTCTCTATGTCGACGACGCCGGAATAGGGGCCGGTTTCCCGTAAAAGTCCTCCCGGAAGGCATTATTTCCCCTGGCGCGCGTTTAGGCCATTCTATAAGGCCGACTCTTCGGTCGCGTAGCGAACACCCACGAGTCTCTCGGAGTAAAGGCGTACAGCCGTAAGACTCCGTACCAACCACCATCTACTGAAAGAAAAAATGGCGACCAATGAAATCAGTTCAAAAATAAATAAGATTTATTTGTGAAATAAATTTATTATTGAATACGTAATACGTAACAATATAAATTTTACTGAAAATATAATGAAAGTTAAAATAAAACTTTCGTTATATGTTCTGTTTTTGAATTCGCCACTCGCATCTTAAAATTTTTATCTAACTTGCATAATTACTTTTGATTATTTTAAAAACATTTATCGGAGCTAAACATTTCCTTTTATTATCAAATATTTTAATGATTAGTTATAAAAACATAATGAAAAATTCTAACAAAATTTTGCACGCGTGTGTACAGTTGTGATAAAATATTTTTTCCATCAATTTTTATCAAAGATTATGATAAAATAATAGTCAAAACATTTTTTCCATTTTATAGACACGAAGATGCCCTTCTATATAAATCATACGTACACGGTCTCGCGATGGAAGCGGCCGGGTGGCCAGGACGTGGCCGACATACCCGGAACAGACGTGACAAATTCTCGGGTTTTTTGCTCGGATTCTATCCCGGCAAGCCGACGCCTTAACCGCTTCCGGAATCGGGCTGACGGTAAAATATGTTTAAAAATCTCAGCAACCAGTTGCTCGACTTTTCCAGCAACATTTACTGGCGCCATCTGTTATCATATAAGTCTGACCCTAACGAAGATACACACAATACCCTTTATCTCCTTACTCCTTCGATCTTAAATCGCCAAAATTTAATAGCATCAATCCCCTTAAATAAACAAACCTCTCTGCAAAATTTCAGAAATTTTCGACAAAAAGCGCGGGAGTTATTAAGCTTCAAACAGGGTGAACAAAATCGTGCCCCCCACAGACATTAACACCCATACGTACAGAAATTACTCCCGAATTTTATTTCATTTCTCGACGTTCGAGAAGTTCTAAGGAGGGTCATTTTTTGCCGGAATCATATTTTCTTTCTGTATGACAGTCGGGAGAGTAAAAATTAAAATAAAACTGCAAAATCGTGCTTTTTTTCAATTTAGTCATAATAAATGAATTTATATTTATCTTTATTTATTATCGCATTCAAGGATATATAAGTGAACACGAACACATGCGCAATTATCTAGACCCGATAATTCCTCGATAACGAGTATTCTATATAAAACGTAGATAAACGTGGTTATATAGACATACAGTATAACAAGATAATATTATTTGTTAATTGTGAGTATTTTACCAGTAAAATCAATAAAATTTTATTTGAAATTTTTAAACTTTTGAAACATTTTTCAGTGAAATTTTGCGTATCGATTCTACAATGAAATTTCTGACAATTATTTTCGTAAGTTTTATAGTGATCAAATTTTATAGTGTGGTCCAAAAGTCTGTTAACCGGGCGAATCGCTGGAAGAAATTATAATTTAATAATCTGTTGGGGTTACATTAGCTTCCGAAGAATAATAATCGTTTCATTTTGAATAAGACAATAATTTAATTTTTCAATAGTCTAATGGACTTTTGGGTCATCTACGTATACTTTATACTAAATTTATAAGTTAAAATATATAGTTTATTTGTGTTTGACAGTTTATTTTGTTTACTGTTGCACTTACCGTTGCCGACGAAGAACCCGAAGAACCCGAAGGTAAGTGTATACATTTAATTTACGTGAACGTAGTTATTTTATAAATTATTTTTACATCGCGTATGAGAAGGGTGGGATTTATAGATAAAGTAAACGAGGTAAGATCGAGGCCTCGCTCCATCGGAACACAGTTTAGCTCCTAGCGCCTAGTTTAGTTTATTCAGTAGAGGATAAAGGACCCGTTGTGCATAACAGGTTTAAATCCGGCTCTTAATATAAATCTATACGATATAATATATAATTATTTTCAATAAGGAATATGTGCCGAAGCACGAAGAAAATCTTCAGCAAACGATGCAAAGGTGAAAATTGTTTACGAATGCGAAGACGACGACACTTTCGTGGGTCTTCAATGTTACCAACATTCGAAATTCTGCGCGTGTTACAGTCGTGACGGTCAAGCAATTTCTTCCGCTTCCACTAAACTAAGAAGATGCGAATGTCTGCGCGAAGCCGACATTCAGATGTCAAAAGGTAAATTGAAACTCGAATATAAATATTTTTTATCGATAATGATGCTTATAAACGATGATATTAATTGTAGAAGGTGAAACGTACGTACCAACCTGCGAGGAAGATGGATCTTATTTTCCGAAACAATGCGATGAAGATAAATGTTGGTGCGTTAATTCGCACGGAGAAAAAATTAGCGAACCTACGACTGGCGATATAGAATGTTAAATGAATATTCTAATTTACACGTTTAATTTTATGGAAGTTTCAATAAATATAATTTAATTTGATTTGATTGAACTGAAATTATTTCTAATGCCTTACAATACTAATGCGAGTAAAATCAATAAGTATTCAGCGATGTAAGGGCTTATACTCTCAGGCTAAATTACTTATTATTTGTTTTTACGAGGCGCATTAACACAACTTTGTAACGATTTCGAGAATCGTCATAAAACTACGCGATTCTCACTCCGGAGACAAAAACCTGTGGAATACACCAGGAGACAAGTTGTCAGATTCACACGATCGACATATCTACCTGGAAACTGTAAACGTTCGCTAACGCTGTGAAATTATGTATCTTTGAGTATCTTGTCGTCATATTCTTTAATAGTGTGGTTGTACCGTAAATTAATCTTTACGACTGAATTATTGAAATTGAACGTCGACGAGCGACTATCCTCCAGTTTTACTTTTGTATTGTAAACAAGAGCTGTACTCGCGTGATAAGTCTAGCGCGCTCATTGGTTAGTTACATCGAGCGACTGGAGACTTTTTGTCTCTCAAAAGTTAAAGCGATTTGAGTCTTCGACGATTGTTTTTCCACTGGCCGAGAAACGGGTTTTTCTGTTACCCGGCGACACGTTTCGCACAAAAATCCAGTGTGTAACGGCCTTAAATGATCTTGAGTCTAGTTGTGTTAATGCGCCTCGTAAAAAATATAATTATCATCATTTTCTATCTTTGAAAATTTAAGATCGTACTTGAAAACTATGTTAATTTCACAGTGATCAATGAAAAGTTTTGAAGAGCCAAATTATCACTGTGACCACTTTAGGATAGTTAACTGACACGAACCTAAGCCTCTGGGGAACCGGGCTCGAATCTGGATGGCGAGAATGCCAAGGATTTTTTCACGAGTGGTTTATCCCAGATATGTCGGCCTTGGTCGGATGGCCCAGCGGTCAAGGTGGCATCCTACCGCTCTGGGGGGGACCCGGGATCGAATCCGGACGGGTCAAGGAATCCGCAGAAAATTTTCGGGGGTGGTCCGTTCGGATATGTCGGGCCCCGTCCCTCACCACCCGGTCGCCCCATTTGTCGGCCTGGCCGAACCCATAATGGGCCTGCTATAAGAAGCCCTCTTAGTGCCCACAGGGCGGAAAGAGTATAAAAGAAGAGATACGTCGGCCAATATTATAGATACGATGGTGGACTTGGCCGAACCCACGATGGCCTGTAAAAGAAGGCCCTCTTAGTTTCTACAGGGTAGAAAGAATTTAATAAAATATAGTAATATATTTATATAGTAATATAGTAGAGGAGAAGGTGGTATTATGGAACCCCAATTACATTTTAATGAATTGTAAACAAGGTATCGTAACTACACCCACATTTTTTTGTGCGAAAAGTACTTGTAACTATTAAACTAAATGTTCGCCAGTGTAACTATAAGTATGGTTTTTGAAGGCTTCCGTACAAAAAGTCAGAAAGTAGGCTTAGAGAAAATCGGGTGGTAATACGAAACCTTACTGTGTGTTTTCAAAAAATGCTTTAATGTAGCCAAAAACAAATAGGAAAGGACAAAGAATGTTAAATAATTACAAAATTATTTACTCCAATGTATTTTATCGCAAAAATGCTTTTATAATGGAAAAATATGACCTCCGTCGACAATATATATTCCAGCAGCTTTTTTTCGATATTCTCGGGAAGAATTGACTTTCTACCTAGTGTCTTTTTCACAAATTGCTCCAGACGAATGTCTGCTTGCAAGGAGAGAGTTCGGAGAAGTCGAGTTCCATATTACCGTAAAAGCACTAATGGGGTCCGTATTTCACGCGTCGCCAACTCGAATTAACTTATGTCGGTCGAGACCAAACTTTAAAAAACATGAACATCGCACAGATTAATATGTACCCCTAAGTCTCTGGAACGGAATGCATGCACCAGTGAACCTACAACTAAACGATTTATATTTTAAAAATAATTAAATTCACTTAGCATTCAAAACTTGCGAATTTTGAAAAAANTCTGATAAAATTGGAGGTAATCCTGAAAGTATTACAATTTTGTTATTGAACTGTAAAGTACAGGATAACTATCACCTTCAACTATTTTTAAATGTTAGTTTAATACTAAATTAATAAGTTGGTTATCAAGTCCACATGTGAATTAAATCCATGAAGAAAATCATACAACTTTAAACATTATTGATTTAGTGATTAATATTTTTTGAAGAAATTGCTTATATAATTTAAAGAATTTGTAGATATTTGAGTAAATTTTTTCACGAATTAAAAAGTACATCAGCGAACTGTCACAAAATAATATAAAATGGTAAAGTTTAAATTCCAACAAAAATATTTTAAAATGTAAATGTCATTATTTTTCTCCCCACTTCAAAGTTGTAGATGTATTGGAAAATAAATTCTTTAGAAGTATTTTATAGCAGCTTATTCAATTTTAATAAATATTTGAGATGAATCTTGCTATATATTTTTCATAATTAACACTCTTAATATATCTTAATAAAATTGAAAACATTAATTGAAACTGTTCCATTAATAATAGAAATGAAAAGACATTTTGCATTCTAAAAGTCATTTATTTTTATAAAATAACTACACATTTAATGTGTGTGTGTGTGTATATATATATATATATATTAAAATTTTTAAAAACAATGAATTATGAATTGTTCTGATTATTATTTCACAATAATAGTACAGGGGTCTGAGTCATAGAATCATTCGTCTTATTTTTTTTATTCGAGCACAAGTTCGAGCTCGGAGAGTATTCTCAATTTAGGGTAATTTTCTGCAGTCGAAATTGGTTCGAACGTTTTAGTTAGGGCGTTCGATGCTGATAGGAGACGCGCGGCTCCCAGAAATGTTTTAGCCGTTGTTAAGGGCATTAATCCATCGGGTCTCTATCAGTTAGGAAACAAGGAAGGTCTCGTGAGATACGGAATTTTATTAACGAAAATTCCGTTCTTTCATTAACTAAATTTTTAATTATTTTACTTTCGTTTATGTAACGAATTAGAAGAAAAAACGATCTTAGCCGGGAATGTGTAAACCTTTCTGTCATAACTATCAACATCTATTGTTCTCTGCAGAACTTGCAGCTCATCTTGCAGAAAAGTTTATAGTTAACATCCAACTTTCGTCACTCGTTTTAGGTCCCTGGGACACCTGTAACCTTTAGCTCGCCAACATCCGATCACGTGGTGGAAATTCCCCACAAAAAGCTATAAAAGACAGTTCTTACCCCCTCTCGGGGGAGTCTCTTAACGAAAGCCGGACCGACGACATCGCGCCGATTCTCCGAACCCGCCGACATTCCCATCTACGATATCCGATCATGGCCAGAGTCGCGAACTTTTTATAAGTGCGCTCTTTTGGATTAAACCCACTTTCCTTCGGACACGCAAGCGTCTCCACGGACTTACTGGTCACGAACCTACAAAGAGGTATGAAAAGAGTGGAAACTCTTTCTCTCTCGAGAAATTAGGCGGTTTAACTGTGAGATTTGTGTAGTCCGATGTCTAATTCGCTTATTCTAATAAATTGTTGTTATATTCGTTATAAATGGTAGACTCCTTTACTCGATCACGCCCTTCACCTTATCGTCGACCCCAAGATTCTCTCCCTTCACTCGCCTGACATTTGAGAGTCCCAACCCTGGGGACCGGGAAAAGTAAATTAGTCATCTTGACACGTGAACGGGGGACCTACGACCTCCCCGCTGGTTCACAGTCTTCTCGATCGATTTTACGACGATAACGAATTTACAATTTCCGAGAGTAAGTTTATTAACATACCTCGACGTACCCTCGACTTCATTAACAACACTTCGCTCTGCATCCACGTTAACATCCGGAAGTAAGCGCGGGTTTATAACGCGTCGCCGTAAAAAGATACCGTATCGATAAAAAAAATGATGCAAATACAGTAGCGCTCAAAGAAAATAAAATGCAACTGGAAATATCGCGGTAATATTTGTCCGATTTATTAATAAAAGTTCCGGACAAAGTAATTACTTTTAGTAAATTAGTTGTTAGAAAAGGTTGACATCTCGAGCGCGGCAACAGATTTCCACGAACGATTACGCGTTGTGGAAAAGTAACCGAGTTACATTTCCGTAGGCGCGAATAATTTTGTTGCCTACTTATATAAGATGATCGAAGATAAATAAATCGCAACGAAAAAGAAACTTTTATTTTCTTATTCCCTATTTTGTATCTAGATCTGAAGTAAGTACAGTAGAGCGCCGTTTATCCGAATCGATTTGGAACCGGGGTCGTTCGGATAACCGATTATACACGAAAAAATATATAATCGTCGTGGCTATTGTATCGTTAAAAATTATTTTTTTATTTTTTACAAACAAAAGAAATATATTGGAAAATATAAAAACAAAAAAAAATTATACTTTAGAAATTAATCTAGTATCAAAAACGTTCGATTCAGCACGACACAGTACTCAGAAAAACGCCACATAAAAGTGCCAGTGCTGCCAGCTAAAACTCACACATTAATAAATAAATATATATATATATTGGAGTAGCCTGAGATATAGCCAAAGATTGCTACTCTACAGCATTAGCAAAAATTTAAATTTGCCGACTGGAATTCTTTCGGATAACCGACTTTCGGATAAACGACGCTCTACTGTACTTTTAATGTTTCGAGATGTTTTTCTCCAAAATTTATAGCGTGTGGCCTAATGAATTTAGATATTTTATTTTTTATCCGGATATCGTTTACACAGAATTCATAATAGCGCGTAGCCTACGAGATCCACATATTTTTATTTCATTTTTTAGATAATTTGTTTCGATTGGAGTTGGCAACATTGAAAATTACACCGCGCGTCATTGTTGCGCGTGTCCTATATTAGTCGAGTTCGAATCGCTCCTCGGCATTTGGGATTATTAAATTAATCTAATCTCCAAAATGCAAAAAGAAACCGCGTGTTTACTAATGAATTAAAAAAGGATCAATCGTTTTTGAAGAACTTTGTGATCGTATTGACAAAGTGAAAGGTCAACTGTGCTTTTCAGAAT